AGCCCTCTTCGCAGCGCGCCCGGCGAGCGAATTGACTACCAAAGAAAAGAGCGAGCCCTCCCACATAATGTTGAAGGATAGAAATAGCCTTTTTTCCAGCGAGCTCAATTTTTTTTGACTATTCAGATGGGGGGTTCGGAAGCGCCATGCTTGAATCGTACAGTCGTAATCCGGGCACTTGATTAGGCGGTCAAGGGTCGCGACGCGGCTGCGGCGCGTCACGACCGCGGCGATCAGCTGTTTCCGACCTAATTTGGCCATTTTCTCCCTAATTTTCACTCTAATTTCCTTTTTTAAAAGTGAGCTGTTTTATTTTTATGAAGTACATTAGGACGTGGAGTGTTTTTTTTTGTTCTTGCAATAGAGTGTTTTTGCGATTTTTTCAGGTATTTGTTCAATTGTCTGCATAACTGTTTGATTGTACGCAAAAATCAGAGGAATCTCAATCATAATTTACCTTGTGAAGGAACAACTAATCGTGAGAAAAGCAGCCAAAACAGTGTAAATTAGGGAGAAAATGGCTAAAATAGGCTGGAAACAGCTGATCGCCGCGCTCGTGACACGCCGCAGCCGCGTCGCGACCCTTGCCGCCTAATCAAGTGCCCGGATGACGACTGTAGGATTGGTTAACCTCAAGTTTATATCCACTGGAGCCCATCTCAGTGGAACGCATCATACATCGTCTGCTCACGCAGGTGCTGGAGGGGTAAAATGGGGGGGTAAAACGCCTAACAAAGAAGGAAGGCCGACACCTGGCGGAAGAAGGGACGACAAAGTGGAGCATTTCACCGTGACGGACGCCCTCGAAGGGATTGTAAGTTCTCTTACCATGAAAGGAATCACTCAACATTTACAATGCGAAAACCAGGTGAATTGGACATCGGCTGATACAATGAGTACACCAGAGTCAACTGTCACGCCACAGAAAGACATCGCGATCTGATCTTTTGAAGCTTCCTATTGACAATGCCATCACATGTTCATTAACAAACAACAAATAGCTGTAAATAATTTCAAAAAAGACACGTAATCAGTCACAATCATTGAAATTAAGCCTCACTAGAGAATGTCTCTCTAATTCTAAGTGGGGGCATTTATCTCACTGTCCGCATGTGCTCTTGCTGCAGCGGCTTGCTCTGGCTTCGTTGGTGTTTGTAGTTTTCTAGCCAAAGCGACTAACCGATCGGCATCTCTCTGAATATAGACAGTAATAAGTCAGAGAGCATAATTTTGAAAATAATTTTGGGTTATCAAAACTCAAGGACGCTCTTTGGGCGACAGTGGTATAGTGGAAAGTGGCGCACTGTACCGCATCGTCCAAGGTGGAAACGACAATTGTCTGGGCTCACAAAACTTCCCAGCCCTCTGGAGCTGGTGAATTATTATCAGGATTGTCTAAAAGGACAGAGACGTTGTCCCGTATAGCTACAGGTCCTCGTTATAAAGGCCACATTCTCTTTGAGAGCTACATGTACGATTTTGATTCCACGGTAGGCATCTCGCTTCCCCGCGGAAGGGCTGATATTGGATTTTTTTCATCTTGTCCCTTTCACCATCGCGGATTCGTTTGGCTATACACTTCCTGTATTATCACAGAAGTTTCTGTCAAGCCACATTTAGACATTGCGAATCGTTGAGAATCAAGAATCGAGGATTTGCGGATAGGGAGAATTGGGGTAGCACGAAAAGAAGTGCTTACAGGCTGGAAAGTTCACTCTGAATGAGGGCGTCTCGCCGCAGCTGCGTTGGGCGCAAAGCTCAACTCCATTCTCCTTCAGCTGTTTTAGCGGGTTGGTGACAACAACTGGTGTCGAAAGGAAATATAAGAAGAAAAAGCGGTTGGCACTGTGCCAAACGCAATAGGGTTGGCACTGCGCCAAACGCCAGCGCGCGACACGCCAGTCATCCGCTGCGAACCACACTATACGCGCTCTTCGATTCTTCAGATCGATACGTATGCAAATCTCGAAAGACCGGTGATTCTCCTGCTCTCCTGAACGAAATGTATGCCATATTCTCCTATTCTCCTGCATTCCCTCGGTTTGCCCCCAGTTTGTGAGTTAACCGGGGCCTTCTAACTTCTAAGCTGACAACGCCAAACAACTTATACAGAAAGGCGACTTCGGTAGCTCATATCCATGTCCTACCGATTAAAGCTTGCCATTGCTTTAGCGCCACACTTCCGTGAAAGATGGTACATTTTTTGCTGATTGCGGACCCCGGTTACCAACTTACAGAGGGGATGGGTCGACTACGCCAACCGCAGAATAAGTTAAGTTAACTGAGATCTGAGAAGCAAGTAGGGGCTCCATTACAGAGCAGTAACCTATACGATATGTTTACCTTGGTTGTTTTGTGTTTGCCTTCCTTAGCATCTCTCTCGAGGACCAAGTAGGTGATTGGTAAAACCTTTTTGAACCGGGTCTCAAATAACTTGTGTATGCACTGAAAAATATAACAAGTCTTACCTTCCGTCGGATGATGTTCTTCTTCTGCTCAAACGCCACCTTGATCTTTCGTAATCGGATGCTTTCAGGATTTTCATGATCGTCTTCTTTCTCTTCAGGTCGGCTGCTGCAAAGGGTCACAGTAATATTTTAATGGAAACATATTCTTGAAAATACTTCTATTGTGCAGCCAAGAAACTCAAAATAAGAGCGAAAAATCCGTAAGACCCATGAAAGTCCCCAACTTTCTGCCATTGATTCCTTGTGTTCTCGCGTCTTAAAGACAGCCCCCGCGCTCGAGTAGTACATGGTCGTCCTTCCTTGTGCAAGTAGTACAGCCCCCAAGCTAGAGACTGTCCCACTCTATTCGACTCCACAGTGAGCGGGGAGCGAGCTACAGCCGCTCAAAGTTCTAGTTCTAACGCCTGCTCAGTTGGACCGCCTTACTTGCTAGATGCCCTCCGACGAGGCCACTCAGTTGTTCTTAGTTGGGGCGGCGGGCATTAATCGGAATTGCATCTCTTTTTTGTGACCGCACTTCGTGTCCGTATGGATAATTCTGCTCCTCCCTGTTATTTACAGTATTACTCAGTGGGGCAATATAATTCAACTCAATCCATTTCGCGACGTGAAAACGTGTAAAAACTTCGACGCACTCAGCTGCCCCCACAAATGGCGTGTACCGCTAACCCAAAATTCGGACACCGAGTTTTTAAAATTTCTTTTTCCTTCCAAGGAGTTTTTCCTCTGCGTTTTTGTTGTTTTTTTTGTATTCTTTTTTTTTGCCACTGGTGGATATTCAAACTTCGGCAAGATGCTTGCATAGAGAGATTTGTGAGCTAGGGGTTGCACAGAGACCGCAGGGAGGTGAGACTATGAGGGAGCGATTTCGTTTATGTTGTTCTGGAGGACGCTTCTTGCTTGTTTTCTTCTTCGGAAGATTACTTATCAGCTACTGTTTCATAATTGAAAAGCAACTATCCAAGACACTTTTATCGCGAGAGCGTCTGAATCCTATCTGGGAATGTGGAGCCAGTGAGGCTGCTATCCCGGAATGTTTGGTGCCAAGATCGATTTCCCCGGCGAGCAAACAAGTACTCCATCTATTCTGGGTTTGTAGTTAATACAGTCTTCACATGCCAAAAACAGAAGGGATCATCGCCGAGAGGTTTACCTACTCATTGCGGTGCGCGTCTGAAGAAGGTGTAGTATTCCAGGCATATCATACGTACCGAGGGAAACAAACTGACTCTGTCCTCCACTTGGTGGCCACAGTTGAGTCCCCCCCCTAGAATACAGACTCTATTAGTTGGGCTGTATATATGTGTAGTCGAACTGCACTGAGCCAAAAGATTGCATTATGAGCAAGACGTTGTCATATGCCGTCTAATCCTGAGAATTGCGAGACAATTCGATTCTCGAGACCAGTTTGAGACCACAAAACAGAAATTTTTCTCAGAACGCCAGCTTACTACTAAATCTTTATATCAGGGATGCCATCTAGTCTGAGTCTACGTACATGTTCAGGAATTAGAAGCCCTCCTACTTCAAGGTGAAACCAAAAAAAATTTAAACCTACGCTTTATTCAGACAGGCGATGTAGACCACAAACAGCATCATAAATGTGCAGAGAACGGAAAAAGCCGGAAAGACAATATTCGAGTTTTCCTGAAAATGGAAAACTGAAAAGAAAATAAAACAGAGAATGGGAGAAACAGGATGACAAAAGTCGTGCGACAGTTGAAATGAAAGTTCGGACTATATATTTTCGGCAATTTATAGAAGGAGGTAGCCAATCCGCAAACAAATCATTTTCTTACTCAGCTTCTGGAAAGGGAAATAAAGGAAAGGAATGGGTAGCTGCTTATCGTGGTCCTAAAACAATGGGTACCCAATCTTACTCTTCCAAAAGTTTGGCGGCAGCAATGAGAAGAAGCGGTCGGCCTCTGTTTCCGTGGATTGTGGAAGTCAAGGAGGGGCAGAACGACAGTGATGGAAGTCGTTGTTTGATTGAGGGCAGTTCAATTCTTTTGGAGCGGAGTCTCAACTTTGTACCTACGAGGAACGGTAAGTGCTACAGCTGTACATAGGATTTAGCTACTGGAAGGGCGCCACAGCAAGAGTTACAGGAAAAACTGAACTTAATGAGTGAGGACAACAAGCGATCGAGTGCATGAGAGAAGCATTGAAAACTTCTCGACACTCTGCAGACAGATCACAGCTGGGAATCTCAGGCATCTCAGATTTGTCGGCCATCAAAGATCAGGGACACGGCTGCTCATGATAGTGAGTCGGAGATCAGCGGAAGCGAAACGCCGCACAATTAGGAGACAGCCGTTGGCCCAGGGTGGCACTGATTGCATCTCAGAGGGGTAGAGGCGATCACAAGAGCAGTAGCCTTTGTTGTTCAGGAGGGCTGCTGTAGTCAGAGGGTGGAATACACGTCCAAATTATGAAGAAGCAGGCTGGTCACAACGACTGCGGCGTTGCGGTTGTCCGATAAGAGTTAGGAAATCTCAGGTAGTAAAGGTACGATTACCGACTGGTTGCTGCTTTGGTTCTCATACGCTGTCGAGCCCAATATTTCGTCAAGTTTCTACCTGCTTTGCTTACGATTTAACTAGAAATTTTTTTCGAAAAATACTGATGGACGAAAGTCTCTGAAGAGAGACCTTCGCGTTGCAGAGGAGAATACCTAGGTCTGGCACCAACTGTTTTCAGCGCTCGCAAAACTTATAAATGTCATCCTTCCAGAATGCTGACTGGTGTAGATCGTGTAGAACGTCAGCTCATTTCAAAAAAGACTCGGATCTTGGATCTTTGCTTGTCACGTAACAAGTTATTTTGAAGTACAACCAGGAGCATGTGTGGGTTAAGCGCGAGTCGCTGAGCGCGAGCGGCTATATAGTCATGTTGCATGTGGTTTGCTTGATTTTTCTGGCAAAGTGCCATCTGGATTCATCATCCTGAAAGGCAAGCGGCACGATATATCGACATGTGCTGCAGGGTCCGTACGCCAGTTCACCTATTCCAGCCCATGTCCACGCGTTTAGTAGCGACCTGACCAGAGTGGCAACATGTGAGGCCCACCGCGACACGCAACACAAATGGCTTGGCACAGCACTGCTCGGTACTCTTTATTGCTCCTCATACGAAGTCCAACAGATATTCGGAGCGATGCTAAACCTGTCATGCCGCGGCAGTTGATTAGGGCGGTCGTCAACGGGCCGCAGCGCGTGCCAGGAACTATTTGCTTTTCCAGGCTAATTTAGTCATTTTTTCCACCTTGTGAAGATAAGGAGCTGCTAATCTGGGAAAAAGTAGCCAAAACAGTGAAAGTTGGAAAAAAAAATGCACTAAAATTAGTCTTAAACAAGCAAAAACTAGTTCCTGGCACGCGCTGCGGCCCGTTGTCGACCGCCCTAATCAACTCCCCGGATGACGAGGGTACATGAGTATATGAATACAATTCATGCAGTCGTATCTACGAAAGCGGTGGTTGGCACGATGTCAACGGGGAACTCGTCCAAAAATGCTCGTCCAATGCCGTGCGGAGCAAACGGTTTGTGCTGATTGAAATCGCTTTTCCGTCGTTTCCCCACTATATAGCACCTCTGCTACTATTTTCGAGCAAGTACCAAAGTATTGGGCATTATGCTTTTAAAGCAGATTATGCGAACAAATAATGCTCTATGCTCAACGATTCGCTTCAGATCTCACAGCCGCTTCTAGTAAAAGACTGGCCACGGCGGTGGCTCTCTTTTCGAGCAGTATCTTCAGCAGCGGCTTTCCCAATTTGAGCGCAGATGGATATCCAGACACATCTTCAAAACTGTACTCCCGTTTTCAAGCACTTGTGTCAACAGAAGCTTGTAGCTACGATTGTGCTTCTTGACCAACGTCTTCATTTTAGCCTCAGTGGCTCTCATTCTCGAGGTAGAAAAGGGTGCGTGATGGCGAGGAGGTTGACCACTGAGTCCTTCCTAAGCCTTAGCCTCACCTTAAAACGGTTGAACGTTTATAATTTGCTCATTTCGTCCAGTTCTCTTCATGAATCGCGCTCAAATTGACTGGCTTGGACCCAATTGGCTACTCTGACAGATGTCGAGATGGATTTGATTTATTCCCGTCATGTAGCCTCAATCACTCAGTCAGCAGAAAACAGGTGGTGGCAAATGGCTTATCAGGTGAGTGTCCTAATCTTTGATCGCTTGAACGGAGGGAATGAAAGTGCACTGCGGGTGAAACTGGGGGTGAGGATGTCTCACGAGATGAGAGATCAGGTCATGCAGAAACGTGGAATCTGTGTAGCTCCCTCTCTTCTTTTCACAAGACTTCGCAAGACTTACCATCAGCCACTGAAGATTCGCTTCTGCAATGCTCCATTGTCTGTCGCAATTCCGACCGTAGTACATGAAACGGCATTTGCACGAGAACTGTCGCGTTGACGTCGGATCTTCATAGCAATCACCGTGAATGCACACTCGGTTACCTCAAACAATACACTCGAATTGCAATTACGACGCGAAATGGCTCGCCTGATTCCTTGTTGGAAATTAGTCGCATATGGAAAAGTGTGGTCTTATCAGCTCTCTCTCGAAGTACTGGGAATTTCTGGCTGGAATTTAAAAGGCATGGAATTGCCACCGCAAGATAGCAATCACAGTATGGGCTGTATGTGAATTCGGACTGCGGTTAGATACGGTCGATATCGTCGCATTTGATGGGGCGATGTTAGGAGGGCGAAGGATGATACTACCTGCAGCTGCACGTTCTGCCAATAGTGACCGCACAGCTCGGGAACAACCACGTTCACTTAGGAAACATCCAGTGATAGGAAAACGCCCTGGGCGGTTCATTACAAGCACCCTGACACCGATCTGCCGGATTCGCACCTGCTCAGATATGCTCGATGACACCTGACGGTACTCTTTTAACTTCTGAACATTCCGTAAGAAGTAAAGCTTACTTCTCAGGTAAAGCTCACCTATAGCCACGCAATAGTCGTTGACGTATTCGCAAAGTGTTCCAGATGTTCCAGGCACACATTTACAGCTGAAATGAATTCAGCAGTTCACTAAAACACTCCACAGGATTCAGTACAGTTTATTACGGAGGAGGGTGTGTTATGTGGCTCTGTTCAACGCAGCACCAACCCGTTCTCCACCAGTCGTAGAAACTGGCAAACTTCTCCACCAGTGACTACAACTGGTGGAAAACGGGCTGGTGCCGCGCCAAAGCCAGCCCTATGATACACCCCAATATCCGCGGTGAATAAGAGTGTGCAATGGAAAGCACAATGAGCGAAAATCAAATAAGTAAAGAACAGCAGGCTGGAATAAATCTAGAAGCTCATTCAGACTTCGAGGTGACAGCAATTAATGCATAAGTCTCCTCCCTGTGTTCCTTTCCCGCTCACAAAGTCATTTCATGAGTAAATTGTTACATATGCCCAATGTAACAAGTTCCGTTCTTTAAGACTGGTAATAGGACAAATCACATACTCGTAGTTATATGGTGACTTGGCGACGCACTGGGCTCCGTTTATGCATAAGTGATTAAAACATGCATCGGCTGGCGCTTCACAGTACGGCGGTTTGAATCCTGGCTCACAAATACACCTAAATTAATGATTTTAGTAGAATGTAAGGAGCAATGCCCGTGCACTTCGCGCCAGGGTTAACACGCGACTGGTCTACAGCTCGAGGTGTTCGAAAAGGTACCCAAAGAGGGAAAAGTGGCTCGACAAGTCGCACAGAGTAGAGGCAACTGGCATCATCATATCAGAACTGCTAACCTCCTCCTCCTCCACCCTGAGTTGGATGCTAAAGAAGAACTGTAGGAAATACACCCCCCCCCCACCTATAAGCATCAAGCGCACGCATTAACGCGAACAGAATGCAGTTGAGATCAGCAAGAGACTCGAAAGGGGAAACACTGCCATTTGATCCACAACGATCCGTAGGATACATGGCACAGACGAATAATTTTTTTTCGTGATTTTTAGTAATTGTAAGGCACTTTCCATCAGTTGGCCCATATTCTCCAAATGTTCGATGTTGATCAACATTCCCTTTAATAGTTTTTTTCCACTAGACAATCGGTTTTTGCCGCTGTGCATGTGCGACGCTTTTGCAAGACATTGGAGATATTCGAATGGGAACAATCTATCAAGACTGATTAATTACCGGCGTTTAGCAGTTGTGGACTTAATTTCAGCGGTTTAAACGGTTCAGTGTACTGCGCTAAGAATACAATTACTTCCTAACTACCTTCTAGCCCACGCCCATAAACACTCAGCAGAGAGCTGTATTTTCATAGCCTTCACGTCGTTCCCAATGTCTTACCTTTTGGTCAAAACCAGACCAAAAGTAATTACTCGTGGCCGTGAGCCTTATAGTATTCCCAATCGCAGGCCGTAACTAAGAGCAACAGGCCCCGAGTATAGTTTAATCGTATGTATAATAGCAGATAAGTTTACCTGGGCGCAGTTTGTCGACGGGGGGGCATTTTGTACTATCATTGCTTCCTTAGTTCCGGTTTACAGTCTCACTCTGGCGAAACCTGTGAACTCTTGTGAAGCTGGAACAAGGTCGTCAAGCCATCATGTTAAAACCTGTCAACTCGAGAAGAGGCTGTCTAGATAGGTCGACACGTCGATGGGAAGTAGCAAAAGTGCAAAATGCCCCCCCCCTCCCCCTCCTCCCGTCGGCATACTGCGCCGTTTACCTGAAACCGTCCTTCTTCTCATTTTCGTTGCAAAGTTGCAAAACGTCACTTTGCTCGGTGTGCTGGCATGATAAGCACTCCCCTCGATTACACGGATTCTTTGCTCGGGAGCAGTTCCCTGTGCCGGTGTAGACGCATTTCGTCTCTGTAACAAGCTCCCGACGAGCTGACTCTGTGGGCTTGAAAAGAAGTTCAGAAAAAGCAAGATTAGTTTCCTGGACTATTCATTACGAAAGCCTGCTCGAGTCTGCCCTTTCGATGAGCCAAGTTGATGTACATGGTAAGAGGCAACGTGTGCTACGCATGCCATTCAGGAGCTGAATTTCCGACCGGCACCAGGACTACAATCCCCACATCGGGCTGTTGAATTGCACCGATGTTCACATTACGAACGCTCTTCTAAATCGATCATCATCACACCACCTTTGAAAGCCGCTTTGATTCTGAATGGAAGGAGATTGCGTGGCGCATCCGCATTAGAAAAGACTGGTCAACATTGACAGCTTTTAAATTTCTGTACTAACCAGAGCACCGTAATTCGATTTAGCAGGATTTGAAACAGATTGAATTTGTAATAGAGGACTGCAGTATTGTACAGAATGAAAAAATTTCTCAACAGCCTAAGCACGACTTATTCCAAGTATTGGAGCGTATGCAAGTCACAAGGATCATGGCCACAGTAAATCGTTAGTGAGAAATCATTCACGATGTGACTGTAACAGAGCCTTTTTCTGACAGTATAAATGAACATCCAGAAGTCAAAAAGTTAGATACTTGGAGAATCAACGAGTAACCGTTCCTTGAGCCGGCTGACTCACCAGTCGGGGTTCTGCTCTGCGTGTCAATATCTTCAGCCATGCCAGCAAATTAGACAACTGATAATTTGAGCTGATAGATCCCCTTTCACTTCCGTCTCGTCCGGTATCTGTAAGTGCAATCGTACGGCCACTGCTTGTTCTCTGCAATTGCTGGGGCGTGCCAGAGGAGCTGGGTTCAGAGCCACGCCTGCCCACTTGCCACCAGTTGTTGTCGCTTGCCCTTTTCAGCAACCGGCAGAGAACAGGCTTG